GGCACACCTCTCATCTACATCTAGCTCTCACAAATAGCCTATTTCCTTCAGTATTTCGGAAAACAGGTTTGTAAACATTTCTCATCTCTTCCATGCGTGTTACATGCACCGTCAATCTCACCACCCTTAATTTTACAACTCTAAGAGTAAATTGTAAAAAAATAAAAATTACTATATTCGTTGTTATGTAATTCTCTCCAGTCCTCACTCTTATCCAAATATTCTCTCAGAAATTTTGAATCAAATGCTCCCTATCTCTCTGACTTATTTATTAACCGCCAATCAGGTTAATCGATTAAATGACTGATATTTTGGTGTCTGAGCACTGGAACTTCCGATTCTACTGACAGGAAGTGGGATTTGAAAGTACTAGCAGCACAAAACTACAACTCACCTGGAACTCAACTTTGTAAAGGACCTGGAACTTCCGGCGGAGGTCACAGAGCTTCGTATAGTTCTTAAGGTCTATCGGCTTGTCAGGAATCGTGGACTTGACACCATTTTCCTCTGCAAAGACAAAGAAGATTGGCGTGAACACGAGGACCGACGTCGTCAAGAGGAACCAACCTCATTAACGTCATTTTCAGGAACGACGTAAACCAGAAACTGTTTCGAGAGAGACGAAATTCTGATAAAAACATTCTTTGGTTTTACTCAGAACATTTCTTTCCGTCTGTCTAGGAGTTGTGCCTGAATAAGACCTTGTAACTACAACTCCTAGCCAAAATACTAAAATATATATCAATATATTATTCGACCAATCGATTAACTAATCAATAAATTAATCGAATAATAAAAATAACTCTTACAAACGTAAATTTGAATTAATTTAAATGTTTCAGTAAATTAATTAATATGAAAACAATTATAAATCGCAGTCTAACAAAGCAGAGTCCATCTTGAAAAGACTACAGTCGCTCAGCTGTTCAAAAACTTTCCTGAGGGTACATTACGATGTTAACACGAATCCGTCACCAAATCCTAAGCCAGATAAGCCCAATCCATGACCTCGAAATCTATTAGGACCTATTATAATGTTATTCTTCTGTCTACTACTAGGTCTTCCAAGTTCTCTTCACTTTCCGACTGAAATGTTATAGGCCGTCTCATCTCTCTGATATGTGCTACCAGTACCACACACCCCAACGTCTCTGATTTTATCATCCTAAAAATGTTTGCTGGATTACAAATAATGTAGCATCCTCCCTATGTTCCTTTTATCTTCCTGTGGATTCCTCTCCTTTTT